TTAAAATGGCCCACCCTGTATATATAGATTATTAAAATTAGAAATCGTGTATCCATAACAAGGAAGAACGTTTTTAGACTGTATGGAATATTCGCAAAATGTTCATAGGAGTGCCTTGTGCTATCTAGGGAGAAACGGCCATTCTCGTTGTAGAGACGCGGTACAGATTTTTTCTAAACGAAGATCATTTTTCTAAGCGCAAAAATCGTTTCTACACGAAAGTTGTCTTGCCCTCGGCGATTTACGGAAACCGAGGGAAGCGGAAGTAAAGCGAACCGACAATTGTAACGCTATTGTTTAAAAATATCGTGACTGTTAAGCTCACATTTTTACAGCAAGGGGGTTTATTTGTTACAAATAATGCCTAGCTGAAAAGCGTTTTATAAAAATCGCAACAATATCGCATAAGTGTTTATTAGAAGATATTAGAAAATCATAAGAAATTATGAACACACCTGCAGACATGCAACCCTTTCTACACGGTTATTTTGCGTACGACACGCTGGCAGCTGCGATACGCGCTCATGTATTAATTAAACACGTGTGAAGGTTGATTCGATTTAATTACGACGTTTATTTGATGATTTAATTTAGAATATTAGCACAGCAGATTCAAATAATACAAAGTGTCTTTGCACGACACATAATTTATATAACAAGTATATAACAAGAGTACGTAGCAACTACTAATCGAACAAAGTTAAATTTTATTACGAGATTGCTTAACGACCGACTGTTTAATTACTGGAAAAACTGAACCGCCCCCCACTTTTATTTATAAACATTGAATATTCTTTAGAGAAGAGGACGCGCGACGTAACAGCTTTGAGAAACTTATTACATAACTACAAATTCAATTCGTTGTAAAGAATATCTGAGGATTCTGAGGGAGTCATTTCTTCGTTAGTAGTTGCTAATTAATATATCGACAATCTACAAACAAAGCTTTTTCCCAGATAGCGCACATAGTTTTATGAATATTCGTCTGGAGTGCAAATATTCTAAATTTCAGAATATTCCAATCGAATATTCTAAAAATATATATAGATTATTACAGTTAGAAATCATATATTCATAACGAAGAAGAATGTTTTTAGAATATTCGTCGAGAATGTCTTTGGAATATTAGGCTGGTATTCGTAGTCAGATCTTATATTCAAGACCGTCTTGAATTTATCTGAAGATGCTGTACAGACCACTTTATTGGCTACGGAGTATCTAAAGATAATCTTAAGACGGTCTTGAGTAGAAGATCTAACTATAAATACCGGCCTCATACTTTTTGTGCAGGGAACCCCATAGAGGCAAACTCTAATCAATAAAAGAAATGAGCTTTCTCGAATGGACTCCACTTTTAAACTAATGGTAGACTTGATTCTGTCTCCAAAGAAATCCCCAAGAAATTGGGAGAGCTCTGTGTGTTATACACCAGATGAAAATTCGAACGAACTCGCTATACACGTGTGCAACGTGTATAGCGAGTGTAACGAGCTTTACGACATGTGTAACGGGCCTTGGACTTCGAGAACGCTCATGCGCCGTACACCAGGTTCGATAATGCAAGGTAGCCAATGGCCGCGTTCAGCGGAGACAGTTGCTCGGTGAGTGATTCGCGCTGATTGGGTTATACTTTTAGATCTGTGCTGCGACAGAACTATTCTTCTGTATTTTTTTTACGTATAACCCGATCAGCGCAAGCGCTCGCTGATTTTCTCCGCTGAACGCGGCCAATGCTAGCTTCGTTTGAAAACGGGACCAAATCTACCTCTAGTTTAAAAACGGGGTCGGGGAAAACCCTTTCCCTTGCGCGATAGACTTCGGTTATATGGGGCATCCCGACATGATGCTCGAGATGGTATAAATAGCGCGGTTCATACGAACGTCGCTTCAAATCGTTACAACTGTGCAGCGATAAGAAACCTCTTGGCTTGGATCTTTGTCGTTTAAGCAGATTCGATTGAAAAGTTCTTTTTGTTCAGCAACAGTAAGTATTTATCCTATCAATTTTATTTTATTGATTAATTTTACTCCTGGTGTGTACGTAAGGTATTCTTTTAAAAAATTAATGATCCGCGATTAAAACCAACTGAAATTGAGGAATATCAGCATCGTATAAAATTATGACAGTGCGTAAAATAATATTTTATTAGGAGTTCGCTAAAATAATTATTCGTTATTTCGTCTTTGCAAGTGACACAAGTAAAAAATATGAGTTTTTGTGTTTTTATATGTTATAAATTTATAAACGCGTGCATTTTTAACTAGAAAGGCATCGTAATTACAAAAGAGGATCAACAAGAAAATTATAGTTCGTTTAAAGATAGTGATGGAAAACAGAAAGAACGTTTGAATTAAAAAAACAAAGTGGTAATTGTATATCGCCAGTAACTCAAATCAAAATATCATAAGTTTTTACGACCTACACTGGCCAATCGTCTTTATTTAAAATCGTTACAACGTTTCGGCCCCGGGTTTGGGCCCTTATCAAGTAATCTCTATTAAAGTCTTAAACTGCTTCGTTATTCATTCTTTTGGCCAATGCCATTGCACCGTGACAGAATGGTCAAATGAATGTACAATTCTTTGTTAGAAGAAAAGTGAGTTGGTTAGAAGCACTTATTGTCCGTGAAATCATGTCAGTGATTAAATAAAATTGCTGTCGCACTGTCAAGAGCCGGTACTAGAGTACAAGTCCGGCTCTTGACAGTGCGACAGCAATTTTATTTAATCACTGACATGATTTCACGGACAATAAGTGCTTCTTCATTTGACCATTCTGTCACGGTGCAATGGCATTGGCCAAAAGAATGAATAACGAAGCAGTTTAAGACTTTAATAGAGATTACTTGAGGGCCCAAACCCGGGGCCGAAACGTTGTAACGATTTTAAATAAAGACGATTGGCCAGTGTAGGTCGTAAAAACTTATGATATATAAAAAAACGATTTTCACATTATGGAGAGAGATCTATCGAGGCAAGAAAAGGAAAAGGATAAAAATCATTTAGCACACCATGTGGCTGTAGCTGCGTACGATTTGCAAGCAGTTTTTGTAAAGTTTAAAATATAATAGTTTTCCTGAATCGCTAGTTTTGTCTCGCGTCACTTTTCTCATGCAAAGACGATTTATTAAACATTCGTTCGAGTATCGTGCTGTAATTAAAAATGTGCGCGGCTGCTGTTTATGTAACAATAATCCAGTTTAAAATAAAATTATGTGGAACATAAAATGTAACATACACTGAGATAAATAAGTTACTGAAACGGCTAAGTACGTTTAGTCGACAGTATTCCTTCAGTTCAAATATATACGTTTTTAAGTTAAACGTACAGTGACTCATTGAAACATATATTTTTATGAATTGACGAATATTTTTACGAATTGATTAACATTTGCTTGGCAGTCTGTGATAAAGAAATATTTCTTGATTCAATACTTCTTTCTCTCAGTGTATTAATCAATTTACTGTGAATTCGAGAATCGCGCATCGATTTATATAACGAATCACGCATCGATTTATGTATTGTTAAATAATCTATGGTAAAATTGTGTTCGTTTTAGATGGATAAAAACGCAGAAGCTAATCGCACAAACCAGTGCAATCCCACTCATACCCCGAGTGGGCCGGGCCACAAGGCAGGCTACCCGGGAACCGGTACCAAAGCAGATTTGGATAATCACGGAAACCAGAAGAATCCTAATAACCCAGAATATAAACCCAAAAAGTAAACATGTATTCATTGTTTCTTACAAAAATGGCATTGTATTTGTAATATACGTGCCTTAAATATATGTGACATGATATTTTAATATTGTAAAATGTTTTATGTATTTTTTTCCATGTCTGCATTCTAACATATGTTCCCCTTCAATATTCCTATCTTTGGCGAAAAGACTGTCTAGTTCGATGTGTCTCTTATCTTTGGCAATTTGATGGAAATATTAATTATTTTACGCTGCGACATAGTTAATAAACGGGTGCTCTCTTCTCTCAATGCATCGTGAAAACAATTAAACACCTTGCGATTTTAATCTTTCAATTATTATTTGGGCATTATTTGTAACACATAAACGAAGAAGAAATCATTATTTCGTTACATATAAACGTTGCGCGGTAGGAAGCGATGTAATGAGAAGAACGTGGCTGTATTATCTGCTGGGCTGTTGAATCCAATATCCCCAGGTGGCGAAAAATTCGCCGTCCCCTTCTTCCGTGGGACCGCGAAACACTTTTATTTTTACTCGTGGAACATCATCTGCAAACAGAAGAAGAGCAATACTTTTTCATTTGCGTTTACGAATATCGCGGTTGTATTATATCTTGCAGTTTTTCTTTTCTACCACTACTTTATCCGCACGAGAAAAAAATTTATATATAAGTGTCTACGTGCTCGATAAACTATCGATAACGGTATCGCTGCAGGATTACCATTTTTCGAAGCCGAGTGACGCGCTGCGTTGCCTGACTCACTGCAGCTAATCGTTGTTAACATTGCTATTTCAAGCAAATAGAGTACAAGGAGAGTGCACTGTAAGAAAATATTAGTTCTGTGATTATTTGCTCGGACATTTCCGCTTAGCGTAATATTGCGCAACCAGGTCTGACAAATTTATAAATATACGTGGTCTGCAGGTTGCAGCCTGACTCACCGTCAATCTCATTGCGATTGTCGATCTACGTCTCTGAATTGAAGAGGGGAAGTCTTATATACTGCGGTATCCGAGGCATCTAGAGCATGACCGATCCCGCTTTTCCATTTGAGGGACCGTTTTTCTAGAGAGAAAGCCGTATTGTCCTGCAAAAGCGAAGGTGACACGTCACAAAGACGACGGCAAGAACGCAATGCTGCTTCCCGTTCTCTTATCACAGCTTTTCACCTGGGCAATCTGTTCGTAACACTGAGCGACCTCGTCGTGACGCTCTAAGGACATGTTTAACAGGCACAGATATTTCCAGACAGTCGCGTTACGATTGTCAAGCTGGTTCGCCTCCGATAAGGCCGCCTCGGCTTCCGTAAACCGCCGCAGCTGAGATAATTTTCGCGTGTGGAAGAATAAGTTATTTCGAACAAAATATTTTAATTTCATTTCACTTACCTCGAAGAGAGCGACTCCCGCACCAAGCCACGTTTCCGCCGTCGGTGAGGTTCTGCATACGCTGAGGAAAACTTTCAACCCGCGCTCGTAATCACCGGCATTTTCGTAATACAGTCCCATTCTGATATTATAATTCGAGGTGTGACATTTTGATGTTATTTTTTTGAAATTTTTTCATTTGGACGCTATTTTTTGGCATCTTTTACGTTTTGTTGTTCCGGGGTTTGCATTATTTTGACAATGTTTTTGACAATGCCGTGGCCAGAGGCGGGCAGGGCTTCAATAAGACGACTTAGGCCCGGTTTCGCCAACGTCGCTTAACTTTAAACTTAGTTTAATTCGTTCTTTCTCGACTTTCCACCTGTTATTTTAGAAAGAGGCAAAGAACGAATTATGCTAAGCTTAAAGCTAAACAACGTTGGTGAAACCGGGCCTTAATGTTTTGATAGCACAATTTACGACGTTGATTAAAGCTAAATGTACATTAGAAAATGTAACATAAAACATAACATATTAAAATAGCATGGAACAAATTACTGAAATTACATATCATTTTCAGGCTATAAAAGCAGTAACATGTCTCAAAAGAAGTAAACGAAAATTAGCCTTAGGCATAAATCTCTTTGGTTTAGGATACAACATTGACGTTAGAAATGTTGTACTAAGGAAAGTTGCGATTTTTGACGTTAATTTGCGTTTTAAAAACGTATTAAAACGAAGTTGGGGACTCCAAAATGTGAAGAAATGACATTATAAACGTTCCTGGGGCATTTCGCGATATTCTGCGTACAAAGATAACATAAAAATGCCACATCTCTAATTATAATGCTGCTATTAATAATCCGGCTCTACTTTTTCCCCGTCTCGGTCGTCTTGCGTAATATCGAGACAAGTGATTTTACCTCGTCTGCACGAGATGCAAATCGTCCGGCCTGTTGAACATTGCACTGGCGAACTCGTAGCAATAAATGGCCTCCGCAAAATTACCCTCTTGAAAATAACAGTGTCCCATTAAACTGCTTATCGAGTAATCCTGAATAGAAGAAACACACGTGAGACTTAAATACACGGACAAGATAATTCAGTACATATTTACACGACAATTGAATCAGTTATACAATTAATGAATTAATTAAAAATCAACTATACTTATCCTCGATCTAAATGCTAAAATTAATTGATAAATAATCTTATTTAATTCCGCGGTTTGTAAGACCAAAGTTGTGGTACTCGAGTCGATGATTAAAGTATTTTTCGCATATAAACACGAATGGAAATGGCAATGACGAACGAACCAGTCCATAAATGCATTCGGCTTCTCGTAGGTGCGATAAAGCCTCCTTGTATTGCTGCGATAAGTAACGTCGCACAGCTGAATAATACAGAACATGGGTGGATCTGTTCGCGCGAGACATTTCTTTCGCCAGCGCTAAATCGGCAAACTACACAAACGCGAATGGTGAATCAGCATAGTTGCACGTTCTTGCGTAAAACGTATTTTTAGTAACGGACTATAATTACGTCGCAGAAATGCAGTTTCATTAGGAGTACAGCCGTTATCATAAATACGTTATCCGGTGGACAGTGAGTCGTTGTCCAGGCGAGAGGATCTTCGCTCGAGATCTCCGTCTCTTCGTCGCCGTCCCTCATGCATTTCTCCGCCACCCTCAAAGTGAAATCTATCCCTGTTGGAAAAAAACATATTTCTCATACTCTAAGAGATTTGACGGGTTTCTGTTATACCCGGAATGTAATTTGTGCGGGCGTAAAACAGATGCAGAATGACCCATCCTTCAACGAATCGCGGATAGAAATCGGTAACGGCTCTCAGAAAGACCTCCGCTTCTCGATGACTCCGATCTTCGGCGAGGATCAGTCCACGCACTAATAAACTGCGACGAGAAATACATATCTATTACTTCGTAAAATTATCTAAGAATCCATCTATCTTTCTGAGCCCAATTAGAAAAGTGTATTCGCGTATTTTCACATACGCGAATTTATTCCGCCTGTTCGAAAGAATCGCTTCGCGGCTGCATTCCTTTGCGCGCTCCACGTCACCGATTTTCAAGAGAAAGATCGCGTACTTGGTCCACGCTTCGGCGTCGTGTTTATCTGCCGCAATTGCCTGCGAGAAAGATTCTGCGTGTTGACAATTTGATACGACATTCAGTGTATGATATTTGATGTATGATATTCAATATCTTCTTAAAGGAGCTTGATATGTACCGTCTGATGATGCCGCCTTGCATCATCTACATGATCTAATTCGTAAGCCTCTTCGGCGTAGAAGTATAGTTTTTTAGGTATTGCAGTCCTGGGCGAATCGTCATCCGCGAGGCGGCTTTCGACAATCTTGTTGATGGCCAGGTGCATTTGTTCGACGAGATACGTGTATAGAGATGCCACAAAATTCTGCACATAAATTGCAGCTTTCACAGCTTTACTGTGCGGATAAAGTGGAATGACGCGTTAAATAAATATTGAATTCACGAGTACGAATCTATGTTGCTGAAAGATTGCAAGAGTATTACATGTAGAACAATAATTTTTAAATAATAAATATATTTTGAAACCTGGCTGTCGACGGAGTGCACGGTGTTCATGTTCGTCTTCAATTTCTGATCCAGCAACGTGATCACTTTTGTCTTCAAAGTACTGCGTACGTTTAAGTATGTGCCAGTTTTGTGTAAATATTGCGTGAAACAAGTCAGCTCATCCTGAAAACTATCGCGTCATGCATGCGAGCGTGCGACGTAATAAAAGTAATCCTCGTATTATCGCTCTAATCTCACCTCTTCTGGAGCGAAGCAATATTTTGCTTTATCCGTCAGCTTAGAATCATTTTCCTGTTCCTTTGAAGCAGACAACTTCTCCTGCTTTTTTTTGCCACGAAAGTCCTAACGCAAAAACGACACGTTGTTGAAATAACGTATATTTTAATGCGCTATATCGAATTATTTTTGGGGTAGGAAGGAACTTGATACTCTGTAGCTCTCCGTAAGAATCTCCACTAGTTTCCGAATGCACGTTGCGTATTGTTGCTCCGCTACGTCGCCGGTGTAAACGTAGCGCTGCTTAGTTACTTTCGACGGCATTATCTCTTCAATTCTAACGAGATTAGTCAGTCGGGATAAATTTTGGCGTCATTTTTTTTTAACAGCTGATCAAACGCCATGGTACACGGAAAAAAATGACGTTGTGTCATCAAGATCAGTGTAATTGAAATAAAATCGTTGAAACAACATCAGTATGAATGAAAAACATCAGATACTTGTCTTAATAATCTGGATATTTAGTTCAATGCTTAAAGTTAAAATCCACAGCAAATACAATCGAGCGAATTATTATCGTGGCAGCCTGCGACGTTTAATTCCAGCAATTTAATTTTTTAAAATTTAATAGCATTTTTTCCCGTGTACTTTTCATTGTAACGATTCATTGCGAACTTACATGTCTGAGAGATCGCTTTCGAGTCTACAAGGAACAAGCGGACGAAAAAGTTCGACTTCGATTATGACAAACGCGGGCTCGCCAGTCTCCGAAGTTAACGGAGTACTTTGCGTTGTTTCGACGTCCGTCTGAATCGACTGTTCGAAACAGATTGAAGAGATCTTTACAATTATGATTTTCTTAAGAACAGCGTTACAATAACAGCTAAATAAATATGAAACTTTTGTAAACATTGTATCGCAGCGACCTTTCTCGATTCTCGCTCTTTTGAATCTTTACTCCATGATTCCGTGCAGAAGATATCCTTTTCCAAGCCAGTCTTTTCGGCCATACTCAATGGGTCATGCGTGTACAGTTGCGCAACTGCCCGAGTGCTTTTTACTATCAAATGATTTGATTAAAAATTAAGAAGGAGGATATCTCCAAGTTTTAATAACAATATAGCTATTTATCATGTATTAAAATAAGTCTGTTCGCGCTTACTTCCCGGGAAAACCAGCTCCGACAGGTCAATATAACACTGATAAAGCTGACACTTGGCCGATTCTTCCTCCTTTCGCACGACGCCGTCCTCTTCTGCGCTCAGCATGAATTGAAACGGCCAATGTTTCCCCCTTCGAATAACAATTTTGACATTTAACGCGAATACTTCGATCATTGCGCGAGAGATTCTAGTGAAGTTGTACTTGACAAGATGCTTTTTCATCGCCTCGCTTCCCGCATCGAGCAACATGCTGCGATTCATGAAGTTCCATTCGATCCTAGGCTCGTCTTGGCACACTTTCTTCTGCAAATTACTCCGTGCTTTATCGCGCATCTATTAATTCGTTGGAGCAAATTGCAAAACGACGCGCCCACTTTCAGACCCACCTGTAAGTCGAATTCTGCACCGAGCGTGTCTCTCGCACGTGCATAATCGTGACCGAGTTTCCATTTTGATAATCTGGCGCGACTTTGTAATTTCGACAGGCCTCGCCATCGTTTCATTCTCTCCAAGTCGCGACATTTTGTCCATTTACCGTCCTCGAATATTAGCTTTTCCGGAATCTGCGGTAAAAAGTATCGTAATTCTTTACTTTTTAAATTAAATGCCATTTTACTTTTTTTTGTACGGATATTTTATTGGATTAACATAGAGAATTCGTCTAGAGGCTGTGTCGCAGCGGTGAATTTGAGTGTCCACGATGATTGTAAATTTTAATCAATTGTGTATGTGAAGATAGAGTCCCCCAGAGTATCTATGCTTTGACTTCCTGTTTGCTTTGTTCTTAGAATTTATACTTGCATATCTTTCTTAGATACTTGCGTATCTCTTTGTTTATTCGGTTCACGTTTTATTGCTGCTATGCACTCATTGTCAGTTTGCTTTTTTTACGAAACTATTCTTTTTCCCCACTTCTACAATTTTTTCTATATTTCTTTAGATGCAACGAGAAATGAAAAATATCAAAAAATACTGCTATTAGTTTCTCTTCAATCTGAAGTAGTGACACAAGAAAAAGAAGTATTGTTAAATAAGTAAATATTTGGTCCAAAGATCATGAACGAAATTTCAATCTTTGTCTATAGGCGACTTATCTATTTAAAAACATATGAGATACCTCATTGTCAACGTATATCATCGTGCCCGCTTTATAATCCGCGTCTTCGGCGAAGAAGATCGGCGGATTGTAGATACTTTCCACCGTAACACTCAGGAAATTAATTTCTTGCGAAGGTAATATCTCGTCGCCGTCGTATGTTACTGTCGCGTTTAATAAAGGAAGATTTTGCCACGAGACCGCGTTACCGTCAAACGAGAGATGTGGCGTTTGCACTATCAATCTTTCGACGATCGACTTTTCACCTGGCGGTCAAGGTCGTAAGAATTATCTTAAGTGCGGTGCCTCGGGCCCGTTTTCTCCATCTCGACGTGATAAATCATCGTTACCCAGCAGTATCGGCATTAGATCGAGAGTGCAAAAGCCAATCACGCATGATGAAGTCGATGCCTGCTGCGCAGCGACCGCTGTTACTCGCTTCCTCGGTTCCACGGCTGATGCGGCGGAATCGGGCAAACGTTCATCTTGGACATCGCACGCTACCTTTACTGACGAAGCAACAAGCATACGATTCGAATGGCAATCGGAGTAATTATTATTCTTACTGATAAGATCATGAAGTATTTGTTGATGCACGCGGATCGCGGAAGAGCTTAAATTTCTTTACTTAAAAGTGGCGCTGATACGATTGGAGCCACGCTGTTACGGTCGTCAACTATAAATGAAAACTCGACCGCGAAATTGACGTCGTAAACTTGCGGCGGTTCCTTGAAACCGGGATCGATAACGAGGGGAATACTTTCTCCGAGCACTGCGTCATTATGCATCACGACGAACGATACACCAGTCTCTTCTTCCACTGTCTGTCGCACAAGAACGAGTTGTCACGTGATTACGACGAGGCATTGAATTGTGCGGACGAAAAACTTACAATATTTTCTATGGACTCTATAACTATTTTGATGCTCCTTTCAAGTGGCTCGTCTTGAACCGAAGACACTGCCATTTTGATGTGTAATATCGAAAGTGCACTCTTTGTGCTAGCTTTTAATTAAATCAGCGAGCAGCCTAACGCGTCAATATTTTTTACGAATTCCATAAAATAACCTTCGCGTATTTTAATAGAAACGAGACGATAGTCGCGATATGATTTTCAATTGTTTGTCGATTTTTCGACTTGGCCCGCAGGGACTTGATCCGCACAATCTTTTGGGAAATAACGAGAGCCCACTGCGGGCACACGTACCCACACATACTTTCCGACTTATTGTCAGTATCCCTTCGAGTGATTCTCAACAATTTCAACTACGTTTATGGGTTTCTTTCTTACGATTGAAACTGGCCGTGTTACTCTTCGCATGAAGACATCATTTTTATCAAAAAGAAGATGTTCTGACTTCGGAGGACCATATGAATAATATAAGTAAAATACATTTTCTGAATCGTGGCTGTCAAAATTTCGTCGCGAATAAAAAGATCGATGTGGTATAACAATAGTAATTTTATTTAGTATGTGTACGTGCCTTCAATAATAAGCAATTAGCTTCGTATAACGATATATATATATATATGCATATAAATTATTATTCATATAAATACGAGTTAATCTCTGATATACGACACTAAAGGACAGTTTAGAAATCAAGAGTCGTACAATCGGACGGACTCTTCGTATATAATTTTTCTCATAAACAAATTCTAAACTCTTAGCACCTGATATCTTCCTATAAAATTTATAGATGCTCTCTGATATTTTTCTCTTACATTCCCAAGGGTTCAAAATATATTAGAGAGTAACAATCGAATTTAACAACAAAAGATATGGGACTAACGAATCTAATCTTTCGACTCACGAAAGCATTAGCGATCTCGAAACAGACTCATTGCCGTCAGCAATGAACTCCTTTCCTCGGAGAAATTTCCGCACGTACGTTCTCTTCCTGCAACTCGTTAATGTAGAGTTGGTGAAGACAACAGCGAGACAACGTTCTTTACTTTTCTCGAAACACGTGGCAATTTACGTCGCGTCGGCAATTCGCTTCGCGAACACTACAATGTAATTGAGCTACGATTGCGTAATTTACGATCACCGACGTGAAGGCACTAGCTTCCTTTTTTTTTTCTAAATGCGCTTACGCCGAAGCGCATCCTTTATACAATCGTATAAAAAATTATTATACATGCGTATATGTATTAAAGTTACAGGTATCAAAACTTCGTCGCGCAATAAGTCGATGAAAAACAAGATCGAGGTCGTGACACGACGATAGACGCTCTCCTCGGACTTTTTTTTTCTCGTACCTTACTCGATTCTTGATTATCGAAATCGTATCTCTCGTTCCATTTAATTTCGAGGAGGGTAATATACAGTGCGGGGGAGAGAAGCTATTTATACGACTCCTTGCCGATATCTTTCTCGGCGTATACGTGGTAGAAAATTCAGGTCTATGCCGTAAACTAGCTTCTAACGGATCGTAAAAACATCCTGCGTGATAAACAGTCTTTTGGGATAGTCCAAGCAGCGGTAAGACAACGGCTAGATTACATTACGCAGATTTAATCGGTAGAACGTTCGACTATAGGGTCTTCATGGTTTTGTCGATGTGTCTTAATGTCGTTTCGGGCACCGCATCCGTCAGGGCTTTTCGAAAGCCCTCGCAGCGAGTCAGCCGCCGAAACATCCTTTTCGCATGATTCCTGAAAGTTCAAACTCGCCATTACGATCACGATTATAATGCTAGCCCTGTTATCAGTTTCTCCAATGGGAAATCTACAACCGACACTGCAAAGTAAGAGAAAGTTCGGGAGATCTTTCTGACATAAATGCCGCTTGGGAATTTGTTCGAGGGGATTAAGCTCACCTCGCGTCTAGATTTCCATCCATTAACAACTTTGCGCCCGCGTTCAGCAACTTGTCCCGTACGTCGCGTGGTAAGATCATAATGTGATCAGGTCCGATGCGATCGGTGATGTCCGACAGCAGTCGTGTGGTCGTCGCGCGAACGATAGCATTTTGATGACTGGACAATCGAGAGATCAGTTTTATCGCGCGAAAAGAAGTTTCCCCAATCACAACTGGGAGAAGTAGACTTACCTCGCGCCCCGAAGTACGATGATACCGATGGTTTTATGGGGCGGCAGATATTGCATCATCTGATCCAAAGCTGCGTTGCTGTCCGCTCGAAGAAATCGATTCGTGTCGGCCGTTCTGTGAAGCAACGGCCCGGCTATGTCGTCCAGGTCCTACGAGGAGAAAATATTGTAAACGAGGCGCACAGTAAGATATAAAAGTGCCCGAATCCCTCTATGCGAAATACGCTCGATATCTACCTGATCGATACCCCGGATTTGAGAGCTGAAGATATCGCCGGCGGCGAGACACGCGGCCCGTGCCACTTGCGAACGGAGATTCTTTATGTGTCG